CTCGCGGCAAAGTTCGAACCACTTCATGAACCAGTCACGTGGTACAGCCAGGCAGCGAGGCTTCGGACGTCATCATTTTCAGCTCCTCCCATAAATGAAGCAAGCCATCGCGGAAACGCCCCCTCCATTACTCGACACAAGCACCAAAACAAACAAACGGCTTGCCCAGCTCAATCGTCGTTTATTTTCTTGCAGAAATGTCGTCTTTTGTGGTTTTTCTCTCCTGTGCATTCTTTGTGACTTCTGCATTAGAAGGTACGTTTCATATTACTAGCGCTAAGATAAACTGGCAGGCTTTCCACAATATAAATAACAGCAGTGCAGTTGTGTTGCACGTTAAAACGGAAGCAGCTGGTGCATTTGTTTTGACACCACAGATGGAGTAAAATGTAAGCTAAGAGTTTAGAAAGTATTTTTAATATATTTGTCATGAATTGTTGGTGGTTAAAGTCATCATATTTGATACTAAATAGTGATGGGTAGCTGAGGCCTTGTGAAGCGTTTAGGCACATTCCCCAAACTGTATCGATACTGTGTCGACACAGTGCTGTTGTTTTGCTCCATACTGACACCTGCTGGACCTTAAATATCACTGCAGGCAACTTACTTGAGACTCACAACAGACTCTGATTGAATGACCTACTCATACTTGTATACACTGTAAGGTATTGTACTTTCCATGGAATCATTTTATATGTTTTACATTGCAAATATTGTAGACATCTTTAAAATATATTGTGAATGACATTAAGTGAAAATTAAAATGAAAGTATTGTGAATGTAATATTACCCATTTGACTTAGTTTATTATAAATTTCTAGTCAGAAAAATAGGTTTATCCAATGTTTTTGCATTCAGTCTATTGCGGGGGTTTTTTTGGGGGGTTTTTTTGTACACCATTTCCACAGCTTTGGAAAACTCACAGGCACAGATAAAGCTGCGGTACACAAAAGCTGTAAAGCCAGGTGGAAAAGGTTCAGATAAGATGTCTTCCTATTCCCCCAGTACGTTAAAGGATCCTCTGATCTTGGAATGTTTCTCTCTGACACTTTCCACAATACTAAGGGGCTGGCAGTCCTTTATAATAAAATTCAGGACTGCCTGGTCCAGAACAATCTTCCTAGATGCTTGATTTCAAAATAATAAAACGCGTATTAATAAAAAAAATATGATGATGAAGCTGTTCAGTGTCTATATAGGCCGACCTGTGTTCATTCTCGGTGTATTTGTCTCCTCATTTTCATGTTTGGCTCTGTGATGCCCAAACACCGAGGAGGTGCTTTTGTTTGTGTAAGAAACGCAGAACAGATGCGACATTTAACCTGCATAAAATGAATATAAATAATTTACACTGCAGGTCACATTGCTGTTTTTCCTATTCTGATAGATTACACTGAAACAAACAGATACCTTATTTGCAGTTAAAAGTTAAAAATGATCTCACACAGCAGAAACATTTCTTTTTCTTTCGGGCTCCGTTTTGTTAAGGAGAGATGTGTGTTTTTATTTTATCTTTGCGAGAGTAATTTTGTGTTTGTTTGTTTTTTTTGGTGGCGACTCATTCCGTTGGCAGATACGGATGCGGTACCTTTTAAACACAGTTTGGCGCGTTGGCAATGAGTGATACGGCGGCTGTCGATCACGTGACTTTTTCTTAAAGCGACGCACGCATCGATACAGGCTTCGCTGGGTGAGCTTGATACATGCGTCGGTTCGTCAGTGTTGCAGGACCCATCACTAATACTAACATGGTGAAAAATTGCACTCTGCAGAGAAAGTAAGACTTGTGTGCACAGAATGAAAGCGAGACTTTACAGGTTAATCGTTGGTTTCTGAAGTGGTGTCGCAGCAGGAACATGTTGTACTCTGGTTCTCTCTCGTCACTTCTCCCTGAAGTCAGATAACAAAGACATCCACAAAGTGTGTGTGTTATAGTAAATCTTGTGTGACGTTTTCTGATCATTTTTCTTCAATTTTAGTTATAACGAGTTATTTGAATGTATGAGCTCACTCACAAAGAGAGAGGGAGAGGATCTGGCACCACATAAAAGTAATGCAATCGAATCAGTTTTGTTGCTGATCTTTCACGTTTTGGCCTCAAAGGTGGCAAAAGGGTGCAAAATACATCAATTCATATGTTGATAACATGTAAGAGTAAAAGACACTGGATTTCAAAAATTTTACTAACGTTTGGAATAAATGTACAAAACTACCAGAATAGGGCATAAGGGCTAAAACGTTTAATAAGAAAACTAAATAAATAAATAATTTCAAGATGTCCAAAATGGACAGTATAGCACATTATTAATATTTGCTTTCTTTTTATTTTCTCTTTGTGTTTAGATCACACAGAGGTCAAAGTGAGATCTGGGCAAAATGTCACTCTCCAGTGTCAGGGTCCCAGAGGTTTAAATATCACCCTGTTAGAGTGGAGCAAACCTGAGTTCAACTCAGAGAGTTATGTGTTCTTCTTCCAAAACCATCGTTTGTATGAAAACTACCAGCATGAATCCTTTAGAGGCCGAGTAGCACTGAAAGATCGATCGATGAAAGATGGAGATGTTTCTGTGATTCTGAGGAACGTCAACATCAACGATACAGGAACATACAGCTGTGAGATTACAACCAGGATGAAGGGAAAAGTAGTTCATGAGGTTGTGCACTCCATCAACCTCAAAGTCACAGACTCAGGTGGGTTTGTAGAGGTTCGACTTACAGCTTTTAGAGCACAGCTGTTTGTGGAAGGGTTTCACTTCTCTTCTTTTATTTTGAAAGGTGTTTTACTTGATACACATGCAGCAGTTGGAAAGCGAATAAAAGTAAACTCAATGTGAGCTAATACTGAAGTTTTTTCACCCCCTTCCTGTTAGTGGCTGAAAATAGCGTGAAACATGATCACATGGATGCTCTCCAGTGATTGCATCTGCAGTCACATGATCAGCAATCAGCTGCTGGCAGTGACATCATGTCTACTGACTGTTAGATATGTTTTAAAATTTAAAACAAGAAGTATTGTCAGTACAATCAGTAGCAGAGTTCTCACAGGTGTTTCTGTCCTGCTTGGTTCACAGATGAAAACATCAAGGGTGGAGAAGAAGAGGATGGAAACAACATGAATAAGTCTCTCCCACTTATATTTGGTGTGACAGTTACTGTTCCAATTATGATGTGTATTGTAATTCTAATTATAGTAATCATCTGCAAAAAACAAAAGGAAAACCCACACATGAATTATACAAGTGTCAGTTCGCAAATGAACTTTTGCCAGCTGATGAGAAAACTTTGCTCAGTCACTTAAATGATTGTGACTTTTGCTATTCTATAAAGTTGTAAATATTTGAGGTTGTGCAGCTTTGCACTTTTCTGAACCTTTAATCACGGCTAAAGCTTAAAACACCCTGTTGGCAAGATGATTAATAAAGCTGCTATGCACAGCAGTTTAACATCACAACCTCGGGACGCATCCAGGAAGCCGATTTTAACATCCATCATTAAAACTCATGCTAGTGCTGCATTTTAGCTTGCTGTACTAATGTGTAGGTGACGCACCATGGTGTAGTACATCCCCCTTACTGTGTAAACACTAGGGATGGGTATCAGTATCCGGTGCCATTATGGTACCGGTTCTGACATAAATGGTAGTAACCAGACTGAAAAGCAGCGCACATTTCAGTGCTTTTTTTCCCTGAGATGTCATGCACTTTGAATTCTAGCCAATCATTTTACCTTTGCAAGCATAGTAGGCGGGTCCAGGTACGTACGTTCTTTTAGAGCAGAGCTACAGATTAAAAATG